GGGAGGGAGATGAAGGGGAGGGGAGAGGAGGGAGGGGAGAGGATAAGGGGGTAGGATGAAGGGGAAGGGGATGGAGATGGAGATGGAGATGGAGATGGAGATGGAGATGGAGATGGGGAAGGGGATGGGGAAGGAGTTGGAGTTGGAGATGGGGAGGGAGGAAGGAGAAGAAGGAGAAGAAGGAAAGGAATGAGAAGAAATAAGGGAGGAGAGGTAGATGATGGTGATGATAGAATGAGCTTAAAAATCTGCGAATGGCGTATATATCCAGATATATATATAATCAAATCATATATATATATGTATAAATATAGACACAACAGTTTCAATATACTCGAGTATAGTATACTAGTTAAGAGAAGAGAATCGGAAAGGAAAGGGTTATTATAAAAAGGTTTTTATGGGGAATTAATTCTGTAAGAGTGATATTCAAGTGGTAGGTGGAGTGGGAGTGGGGGTGGAAGGGGAAGGGGAAGTGAATGGGAATAGGAGAGAGAGTGGGAGTGGGAGTGGAAGGGGAAGGGGAAAGGAACAAGGAGTAAAAGATGAATAATACTCGTACTAGAGTGTGTCGATGGGTAGTAGTATGCTAATGCTTAATTCTAATGCTTAATGCTAATGCTAATGCTAATGCTAATGCTAATGTTGGATTTGTTGGGGTTGTATATATGTAAGATTATATATGTAGAGTTTATATAGAGTTTATTTAACTTTGACTAATAGGGGGGTAGAGAGGTATGTATAGTTAGTCAGTTCTGTTAATTAAAGATTCTATTCGAATATTCATTTCAGAGGTCTACTTTTAAAATGTTCAAATCTAATCATCTTGTACGAGTATATTAATAGGAATATGGTTAGAGGAACGAATTTGATAGATTAGAGATTAGAGGCGTTTGCGGAAAGCTTTTTATTTTCGAGTATTGATTTGATTGATTCTATTCTATTCTATTCTTTTAAGATTCTAGTATTTGTTTTAAATTATCTAATCATTTTATAGATTCTAAATTCTAATCATCTCAAAGATTCTAACTCATCCCAAAAACTCTTCCCCTCTCAAAAATCCAGCTCCCATTCCTCGTCAAACACCCCCCCTCCACCCACTCCAAAAAATCCAAATACTTATATAAAAAAAAGTTCCGTTCCAAAAACCACAAATATAAAAACACACAAATATTTGTACTTCAAATAGCAATATTTGTAATTAACACCTATTGCAAGCATCCTTCAACTCACCATCCATCTACCCAAAACCTACCATCTACCATCTACCATCTACCAATCTACCAATCTACCAATCTACCAATCTACCAATCTACCAATCTACCATCCCGCAATACAATACAATACAATACAACACACGAACCAACAATGTAATTAGTAACCTATTGGCCTAGAATATACCTACATGGATAGAATAGGTAGATATAATATATAAATAGAATTGAACGCTTTTTGAAAAGCATAAGAGCTGTTCAATAAAGTATATATTTAAAGCAATAAAAGCTTTATATTCGTAAAATAGATTTAATAATATATAATATTAAAAAATCAATCATAATCAGAATCTTGTAAATTTAATTTTTCAATTTCATTATTACTATTATTGAAAATCTAGTAATTTCATTATTTATTATAGATATTAATTCTATTTTAATTCAATTACTAATTTATTTATATATATATCCTTTTGAAATTAAAATAAAATAGTAATAAATAGATAAAAGTATTTTGAATAGTATTAGTGAGATTAATTGATTTAATATGATTTTATTTTTATCAGATAATATTATATTCGCAAAAAAAAAAGTAAATATAGTACCGAGTGGCGCCAATATAAGCTTTGGCGGTTTAGGTGTAGGTCGCTTATTTTGGCACCAATAGTACCCCTGCAAAAAGATTTTGGTACCAATAGTACCTCTACAAAAAGATTTTGGCACCCTTTGGCACCCCCAGTATCTATTAGCACCCCCGATATCCTCTAATATCATTAGTATTCTATATAAATTATTTTGGTACCAAAAGTGTGCCAATAGCACTTTATACAAGTGTGACCAAAAGGGTATAAACAGGACTCCGATTGTGTACTTAGAATCTACAAGTGAAGAGCTATGTAGGATGCTAAAAGGAGGACTATATATACAGGTATTGGGAGCCATAAGGGCTAGGCCCAAAAGGGTGAAAGAGACCTAGAGATAAGCATCGTACGATGCCTAGGTCTAGAGCTGTAGAGCTAGAGCTCTAAGCTGTGAAAGGAAGGTCCAAAAGAGCCGTCATATCATACTATGTATGTAGTATGAGCCAGTGGGCGGAAGAGAGCCGTCTGTTCCGTCACAACAAGTCATTTTGGCATCAAAAATATATCAATAACACTTTATACAAGTTGTTTTGGTATTAAAATTATACTATTAGTATTTTATATAAGTTATTTTGGTACTTATTAGTAATCGTTTGATATATTATATTAACAATCTCTAAATATGAAATCTTTAGTAGTTTCTTTTTTAATAGATATTCTATCTATACCTATCTACACTTATCTATATCTATCTAATGTCTAGAGTACCTTGATATATAATAACTTTCTTTGTAGCAAAAGGTATACAATGTATAATATACTAAATATAAACAAAGATACCAAATATATATCAAAAGCGCTATATACAAATTATTTTGGCACTAACGGTATGCCATTGGCATTATATACAAATTATTTTGGTATCGGAGATATGCCAATGGCGCTTTATATAAATTATTTTGGTACCAACAGTATACCATTGGCGCTTCATACAAATTATTTTGGCACCAATAGTATACCATTAGCACTTTATACAAGTTATTTTGGCACTACTTTGGCGCCGCTTAGCAGTCTTTTGGCACATCGCAACAATAATCTCTAAATCTGAAATCCTTGGCAGTTTTTTTTTGCGGATGTAAATATAAAACAAATAAAAGTTTTAAATATAAAATGAAAGATTTTGGCTTTAAATATAATTATAAAAAGCCAAAAGGCCAAAAAGCCTAATCCTACTTGTGAGTCGTGAAGTTCGGGTTTTGATTATGATTATAAATCTCTCTGTTTGGTTTTGGTTGGAGTTGATCTTTTTTTATATATGTATATACAATAAAAGGAACTGAACAGCATAGGGACTGACTTCTATATTCTGTCAGTATCTTTGTCAATGATTAATTAAAAAGGTTCGACCTGGCATTGGCCCTAGTTCCGGTTGAGTATATTTTAGCCCATTGGATTACTATTCAGTCAACTGAGTGTATGTAGTCTCTTCTTTTCAATTGATATCATTTCACCTTGCCATCCACAACGGTGTGCTTTGAGCTTTGAACGTGGAATTGACATCGATAAGAGCCTTCTATCCTGATCCGACATCTCAGCCTGTTGCTTCCCCAGAATCTCCACACTGTTGGACAAGCCTTTTGACATTGTAGGCATACTGTTTTGTTTCAAGGAGCCAAGGTAAGATCATGCACAGGTAGGATATTTGTCAATGTAGCGAGATTTGACCGCATCAGGGTCATTGGGATTATGCATGATGGTGTTCCTGCTGTCAGGTACTATACGATACACTTGTGACTTGAGCGAGTCCAAGGCAAGCAACTCATCTGATTCATCCCATGAAATTACACCACCATAACACTAACCGTCAGATCAAACCCAACAAACGAACAAGCCATAACTACCACTCTCAAATCCTTCTGAATCTTATATGCCTCCCATAAAACTGTCAATATCTCCAATCTCCTCGCATACCCTGCAAAACACTGGCACCTAAGAAGATATATCATTTCCCAGATCCTAACGAACATACCACGATAAACAGTCTCAAGACCTATCCACATTATGCATCTCCTTGGTAAAACGACAACCTTTTCCGGTCTTTGCACACATCTTTTCAGGGCACTGATGTCCCAACAAGCATCTTTCATCTTGGCACTTCAACTTAGACGAACATGGTGCGTAGCGTGAGATGAATCGTCGAGCTTCAATTCCTTTCTTGTCAAGTCTTGCGCCATGCAAAAAGCTGCATTGGTCATATGGACATTCTCCCAGAATATGGAACATGTTACAGTGTTTCATGTTCCTCATCATATTTACGAGTGATCGGGGTGGGCTGATGACGGCATCGAGACGCTGCCCTTTACTGTTTCGCAGTACAGTGCTGGACATACTTGCGGGAACGCTAACGAAATGTTCACAGGCTTCCTCTGCACCGATCGTATCTGTATCAACAGAGCTCGCAATTGTTGCGGTATAGCTTGGAATGTTCGGGTTTGAAACTAGAGGGGGCGTCTTTGAGAATGATACTCGCCGGGCCGGTAGCTTTGTGTTTCTGAAGAGACCCGGGAGATGCATCACAAGAAACTTGTCTTTTAGTACTGCTAGTTCTTTGGCAAACGGGGGTCCTTCTAGTAAAATGATTCGACTACTCTTCGCATGATCTCCTACATACGGTTGGAGAAGTCGCGCATAGCCATTATCAGCCGACCCGCCGAATATGATTACGCGGCACTGAACATCGACCATATCGCGGCTGAAACACTCTATAATAAATATTCGTCAGTACCGGTACTGTTACAACAAAGCTGGATATGTCATGAGTGTAACTTTACCTTTCAGCTTCGAATCTGCACACTCTTTCCCATCACCCGCATCCACGAAATCGCACATGGTATGTCCCATGTTAAAACCACGAACAAACATATCAAGATCATCTGCACTATCCAGGATTCCATTATAGCAGTATGCCGATGCCAAACCTTTCTTATTTACATATATCCGAACGCGGATTGAGGTTTGGCTTGGTAACCCAAGCTCCTTCGAAATATACTCGGATGCTTGAGTCCTTAAACGATGAACTGCCTCTAATCCTCCTTGCTGAGAACATTTGATAAGATCATCGCAAAACTTCGAATGATCAGCAACGAGTAACGTATTTCAATGGAGAATAAATGCGTACGTACCGTCATGCAATCACCATCAATCAAAACCGACACAAAACCATTTGCATCCTGCACGCACAATTAACAAAGATATCCCTATCCCTATCACAAATCACAATTTCCAGATAATCATAATCTTACAATCCTCTCCTCGATTCTCCCAATATGCATCTGCAGATCCGAGAATTTCGACTGGTACAATTTCGCAGTATCTTGTTCACGCTCTAGATGTAATTTCGTTTCTGTCAGACTATTTTCTACCTCTTTGATGCGAAGAAATAATTTCTGTTGATATATATATTAATATTATTGATTTTCTGTGAGTGATTGAGAATGACTAACCTCGATAAGTCCGTCCTTCCCATCTTCAATCTCTTTCAACTTGTGAAATTGCTCTTGATATACTTCAAGAGAAACCATGGCTAACTACCACACATTTAACAGACATGGTTTATTGTACTCTTATACAAATCCAAATAAAATGAAAAGAAAAAAGGCATAATAAGATGTTTTGTTTGTATTATCATAAGGCGCAGTCTGCCTCTGCCTTGCCTTGCCTAGCTTCGCTGTACTCCACCCCCCCACAGTATCCACCTGACGCATCCTCCCCCACAAAACTACAATACCCAAAATAAAAGCAGCCCCAAAAAGAATTGTAAATAGCAAAAGAGATTTGCTACCGCAAAAAAAGCCAAAAAGAAAAAAATAATGTCTCTCAGGCGCGAGTCGAACGCGCGACATCCAGATTACAATGAACAATTACAGTCTGACGTCATAAACCAACTAGACGACCGAGAGTGATGATCGAGTGAACTCGAACTGGTCGTTTTACCATTACGGCAACTTGATTGTTGGAAGTCTTGTTATTATAGTATATATTGGGTTTGTGGTATAGTGGGTGGTGGGGGGCTGGCTAGCTGTGGGTGAAGGGGGATTGGGTATGGTTAAGCCGAGATGTGGGGGTTTTGATGGATATTGTGAATTTGTGGTTTTTTGATTGTAGGATGCATGCATGCTTTTTGTTTTGGTACAATATATGCTATATGGAATATTGTGAACAAGCACTCGAATAATCCAATGTAATCAAAGGGAATCATTCTAGATTTCATGACATCGGACTTTGGACAGAAGATAGTTCATGATATGAGTCCATTAAGAAATGGGAGATATTACTACCCAGGTCTGTAAACTCGAATTTGCATGGAACAAGAATGCTCAAGCCAGTTGAAGCCACAAGTGTGTACTTCAATTCGAGTATGTTTCGCAAAATACATTCTATTTGTGTATCTACAAAGAACACTATGGAATTTGGAGACAAGCATCACAATCGATGGAGATGAGGAGGGTTCTTTGCTACCATTTACTGCTTTGTCTTTGTTGTACCTAACATTGCTCTTTGCCGGTATTTTATACATCACTATTTCATCATCATCAAATCTCTTATGTTGCCACCAGCCCATTCATCTATCAAAAAAGGCAGCTCCATACATATTCTCCATGTAGGATTGTCGTGAGGACTATTTCTTCTCAGACTCCTCAGACTCCTCACTAGGCATACTTTTCTGCTGCAACAGTATCACATAATCTTATAACTGGAACTGTCCATTCTTTGTTCCTCACCAACCGCTCGATCCCCCCTTTGTTGTTCGCCCTAAAAGGATCATCTTCACTTACATCTGCCAAGCCAACCAGCTTCTTGTCAGTCCTCAAGTGAGTCTGCGAGGCGATTATAGCCAGTTCTTCCAAGCCAACGAACTGAAAAATGACGGATTCTTCTTTGATGATATCTTGACTATGACTTAACCAAAAGGTTTCGGGTGCCAACTTATAACATACTGCCAATCTTCGCACAAATTGTTTTGCGTGCTTGAAATCCTCGAATAGCCGTTTCACAAATGAGAGATACGGTATTCTCTCACTAGTACTCCAAGCTACGTTGAAATATATGATATCGATCTCGAAATTGACCAATGGCGGCTTCGCAGAAGGATCTGGAGAGACTGATCTCAGATCGGAATCGGAATCGGGGATATGGTTGAGGCTCACGTCTGAGCTAAGCGTGGTATAGAATGGAAGTAACTCTTTTCGAACTTCGTGATTGATTGCCAGGAGTACAATGGGTGCGGTTGCTCGTACGTGATGCTTGGTGGTCAGGGGATCCCATGCTCGGGTGGGTGTTAAGCGTGGTCTGACTTCGATGATTCGTGGGAATAGACGAAGAGCGCGACGCCAAATCTTACGTCGTATTTCGAGAGGTAGATCGAGGAAATGGTGAAATGTCTGCGTTTCTCTCTTGAGTCCTTTCGTCGTGTTTGAAGTGTCGTTTTGATGGAATTGATGGAATGTCTGCATTTCTTCGTAGAGTGCGTTCATCGTGTTTGAAGTGGCGATTTGATGGAATTGATGCTCCAGAACATGTGCTCATCAGAGAGCCAGAAAATTGAAGAGGACCTGTCTTTGGACGTTTTTGAAAGATCAAGTATACAAAACTAGTCGACAAATGTGAATGATTTCCTTCAAAGGTAGCAAACTCCCGTTGCCCCCACCGACCAGACCGAATGATGTGATTTCCCAGCAAACAACATAAGATTACCGGTAAGCCAATGCTATGGAGAATGATGCAATTATTGTGCTTGAGTAGTGTGTTGAAGAATCCAAGAGGTATATGACAAAAGAGTTCGCTTGATATACGATATGGCTGTAACGACCCAGCTCAAGACCATCCAGGCCGAATAATAAGGAAACTGCGATTTGACATTGGCGGGTGTATGAAATTTCTAACGAGGAAAAGTTTTTATTTCTAATTTGATAATTTTTCTAAGTGCGCAAATTTTCAACATTAAACGTTTGTCTTAAGACTGGGTGTATGGAATCATGGAACTCTTCCCCAACTTTCAAACACTATACTCATTACATCTTTCGATTCATTCTATCCAAATGGTATAATCTCACAATTTCATGTGTATTTGATAATTCGCGTCAAGCTGTAAAGCATATAAAGAAGTATTGCAAGGATGGTGTCAATGACCTCGATGTATGGGTCCATAATATTGAACATGTCTTCAATGAGGGGAAGTAACTTCCAAAAATCATATTTAATCCAATTTACAATTTTTACTGTTCAAATCATATATTCCCATCAGTTTACCTGTATCACATGATTGTATGCAACTCTAGATTGTATAATAAATAGATAGTGCCAGGCCATTGTTGAATTCAATGTCCACGTCGTTTCATCTCTTATGATTCCATATATACACTACCGATCCTACACATAGCATCCCGCGTTATTGAACTGTATACACAGTTCTTACAACGTGTGGTAATTGTAGATTGTGGTTCTGATCACAATGGATAATCTCTTTTGGATTACGATGCGTGAGTTTTGAATAATTGAATACAGCAAGTGAAGTGAAGGTACGTGTAGCATCATCCAGTCATATCGCTACAAGTTCATACATGAGATCATTCAACCATGCGGCAAAGACATAACAAATCGTCTGAGTCTCTAATGTCTTAGGCTACCGATGTTGATATCATGGGTTCTGGATTGTCATTACTCGTATACAAAAGAAACACTCCTTCTATTCTCTCCGAGGATGTATTCATTCTCCCTCGAGCATGGCAATAATAGGTGACCTCTAGGCTCTAACTGATACCTTGAAGTTCACGCCGAAGTGAGTACGAGTGAAGCAACTCAAATTTGAAATACTCATTTGCTCACTGGGTAATCGTGACGCAAATCTCACATCTCGATCCTGTAAATCCGACTCATCTCCTATCAGATAGCTTCTAATGGACTTGTACCACAGTAAGAATATCATTTATGAATGTGTTTCTAATCGTCTGTAGACATGGAAGTGAATGATGTCCGGTAACGACTGCAATAAGTGAAAATGTATACTCGAGTACTATCTAAAATCAACCCAATCCCACCACATCTTGCCTAAACTCCAGAAAGGTGATCTCCAATATTGAAACCTTTACATAAGTACTCAGTATTCCATTTTCCATCACAGAAACACCTCTCACTCACTGTATACACCTCATACTCCTCCACCCAAAGATTCTATCCTCCCTAGCTGACCTAAATTTCCAGTAAGAAAACAGTGAATACCTCGTCATGTGCCCAGCCCCCCAAAAAAAAGTTTTTGTTGCACATCTGAAAATTCTATAAATTTTTTCCACAACCCAACCCACTAGCGTACTTTTTAATAACAATACATCAACTGGGAATAAGAGCACCTCTTGATGTTATTTCTGGTGGATTTATTGTGTTTCGGTAAGTTATGGTAAGGCCCATTGTGAATGTTCTGGCCGATATTTTCGAGTATGTACTGTGTACAGTATACCCGAGTCGGGTTCGGGATATTCACTTCTGGGATTTTGTACACACTTCACTTTATTTATTCATTCATATATATTGGCTGAATTCATTTGGTATATTGTAGTACTATATCAATTCTCAACTTTATGAAATCATTGTGATGTATATGTATTCATTAAATCTAGCAGTTTCATTTCTGGGGCAATAACTAAAAACTGCGAGGGATGAGGATGAGGAGATCACGTTTAAACTCATATCCATAGCTCTGCACTAGCTCAAAGCTACTTCGAGTTCGACAATGAAGCGTAGAGACGTACGAGTACGAGATAATATGAGACCAAGTATCCTTTCACCAGCAAGAAATCACCGCGAGAAGCATGAGATGACAACTTAGAACCCTCTCCTTAATATCCTAGATATCACAAAAGCAAAGTATTTCGAACTTCGCTAGATTGAACACGCTGAAAAAGGAGGTGGTAAGTGTATAAAGTATCAGCGGGATCATTACACGGATTCTTTTGTAAAGGGAGATAGAGTACTGATCATATACTACATACTCTGCAGCCACCTCATATAGATTATTAATCTAATATATAAAGGGAGATATCGTATTAAATCACATATTGAAATACAATGAGGTGTATTGAGATCTGAAGTCATAGTTTAAACCTAATATGAATTAGTTAGTTTTCAGTTCGATATAGCTTTATTTTTTTACTAGTAACTCTAAATCAGTATTTCATATTCATTATATCTACATCTACCGAAATCTTGTTTATTCCTTTATATATTTTCACTCTCAAGTTACTTTGAATAAATGGTTTCAATGCTTCAATATTCAGTAAGTTAGAATGGTTTCAATTGTTTATATAGATTAAGGGTTAGCGACGACAAGGGTGCGACAATGAGGTTCAAAATATAAGGTATGAAATTCATAATAAGGGAAATGAAGGGAGGAGAGGGCCAATGAGGTCAGGGAGGCCAGGGAGGACCGGGAGTGAGGGGGTGGCCATCGATATCAGAAGACTAGTAGTTTAGCTTCAAATTTCAATATATACTTTGAATCTCAATATATATACTAAAAAGTATACGTACAAAAATGGCCGACTCACTCACACAGCGTATATTTATAATCTATACAGTGCAGGTTTCTCAGGCTTACAAATCTTACTATAAGAGCAATCTAGGAATCTGATACTACTATTTATTTAATAGAGTCTTTATTTTTTTAATAGAATCTCTAGATCTTTAAATATAATATTGAATTTATATAACAATGAGCTAAACTCTTACAAGGACTTTATAAAAGAATATCTAAAAATATAGTGTGTTCTATAGTATATAGTCTCTATAAGCTTTATTAATTTTAATATACTATGTTTAAATCGGAGAGAAGTAGTAGAATCGATAATATGATTAATAAACTACTACTCTACTCAGACGTCTATCTAGTATTCATATCTAAATGATCTTATTAAAAGAGAGCCTCTTACTCTTTAGATATAGACGCTAGATAGGGAGAAGGCGGGGTAACTGTTTATTGGTCGGAATTATCGGTTCTACTACTACTACTTTTATTCGACTTCAAGTTGAGTCTAAAACATATTATAAAAAGTCTTTAAAAGGATTTGGCTCAATATACTAAACTCTTTCAAGGACTTTATTTTCATATAATCTCAATACTACATTTAAAGATCTAGAGATTCTAGTAATAGAATAGAAGTTCCGTTTAATAATAGTATCGTTGAATGTCTAGATTGCCGCTGTTTATATATATATTTCAAATTGAATGTATTTTATCTATCAAAAATTATATTTCAAGGCTTGGATTTAATATAATTAATAAATTACATTTATTTTCTTTTGAGATTATTCTTAAATATTAAAGATTATCTTATATAAACTTGAAATCATTATATATTATTATCTTACGATTTTTAGGCCCAACTAGGCCTTTACTTTATATGAGGTAATGAATGACCTATCTAGTAAGGCCTTATGAAATTTGCTTGGGTGCTCATATCAATACTCAAATCCCATTCGAATACTAGGATCAGGTTGCTTGTCGAACTAATAATAGTAGATTAGTGCTCCAGTACTCCTGATTTGCACACTCATCAGAGGCCTACCCTAGTATAAAGCATCGTCAAAAAGCTTAAATTGCCTTCCTGAAGAAGTATGGTTCCTTCTCGTTGTCTAAGTAACAGGTAGGATGTACTAAAGCTGGAATGGGAAGTGATAGCCATGAGTCCCAATATGTCATCCCCAAACCTACACTCTCTCCCATCAACTACAATTAAGAAAACAACTATCCTTCACAATAATTGTCACCACCGAGAAAATCCAAGTACCAAATATCAATCATCGAAAGTCCAAGAATAAAATCGCCTAAATCAAGTTTCAACCTCGCACAGTATTGCTCATCATACGGTATTATAAGGATCTCGACCCTTCAACTTCGGATCACACATATGACATTTGATTTGATTGCAGCTTCCACTCGATCGTACCTTAGACGGTCGATATCCTTTACGAAATTGGCACTTTTACAACGATGTCGGACCGTACTAGTCTTTCAGATAGAAGCCAGGAGGTATGCCGCGCTATAGCCTATACGCAAGTAGAGATTCCCCAACCTGACACAAAGTGTAGAAAGATAAAACCAGTTTCTCGCCCCCTATTACGCTTCAAGTTGCCTACACCAATCCCGCAGATGAAGCACATGTATGCCAATTCGAACGCAGGTTCCAGTATGAAGATGCAACGGCCCCCTTTCACAACACTTTTACTTACACTATTCGTGCTACCAGTGCATCACAAGCCGGTTCCACAGAAGACAGTCCTGCAGCAGTCTACCTTCGAAAGAAAAGGGCGGAAGCAAGTTCCATTATCGAGAGAGCCAAGCGTAGAGCTAGACGTGGAATAAAAATGCCCAAAAAGACAACACTTGGTGACATGATTCTCGCGACGAGAACATATATAAAGAAGCAAAACAAGGCTAAATTCGAAATGGAAAAATATAGGAGGAGACTTGAGCAGACAAAAATCGAGAAGGCAAAGATCGAGAAGATAGAAGCTGAGGAGGACGAAACGGAAGAGGAAGACCTCGATCCCGATCAGATAGAATGTGATGATGAACTCTGTAGGCAAAATTGCCAGTAAATACTTGATAAAGAACTTTAGAAGCAAATTAGGGAGCCAAATGGTTACAATTTACAAAATCTTGACACCCGGACCTTCGCCCAAGAAACGCAGGTTTGATGGTCAAAAAACGCGGTCTGCATGTGATAATCACTCTACGACCCATACTCTGTTGGTAAAAGATGGTAACAGACTCTCTATCACCAAGTGCACAAGAGCTGACCCTTAGTTCACCGGTCCTGTGTCCCCAGCCATACCACGATGCCCGGTTTAAAGATTGCGTGGATAGATACCGTACTGCTGTTGAAAGAGTTTAACAAACATTTGGTACAGTGTAGTGAGGGCATGGCGGGCATTGAGATCATGGACATGCGATATTGGATCGATAGGGGTTTCGATGCCGGTATAGGAATACTGCTACTAATACATGAATTTATTGCCAATGTAGGAACTTTGTGAGGAAACAAATATGAAGAGAAGGGACCGAATGACAATCTGAAATCAACTGTGAAGGAAAATTCAATGCTTGAAGCCTTAAAGAACTCCACACGCTTTGCGTGTGCTTGATCGGATCCTTGGTAAAGAGATGCTCCTAGCATTTCATAGCGAACGGATTCATCTGGAGGAGAAATGACTAATAGAAAGGATCTGGGAAGACTGGAAGAAGAAACGGATATTTTCAAGGACAAAGTACTTCAGAATCACAGCGGAAATCTTTGGGTCGTTCGCTGTAAGATAGGCCATTATAGTTGGAATTACTCGAGTGAGCGATGAAAAATAGCATCTCACATACATAGGTACTAATGCAACGAGCTGTTGTATCCAGCTTACCTTTAATGTCCCCATTGTCTTATACTGTACCCTTCAAAACGAAAAGCGACAAGTCTTTGTACATATTTCAACCCTGGACTTCTGAGTGGACTTGATGTTCCAAGAAAATTCAATAGTGCAAACAGATTCACGGCATTGTTATGTTACTGGCAAATATATACATGCAAGAATGAAGGTTTGAGGTATAAAATATGATGTAAAAATGGGTGTGGAAGTAGAAATGCACGAAGAACGTTTTGACAGATAGACTCTGCTTCAAGAATCAAAGCTAGTACTGTAGAAGTGATCATTATTGAGAAAGAGCGAGGCGCTTTCCCCTGGGATCCTGACGCACGATGAGATAGGAGATGTATAATTAATTAGATGTTACATTGGGCTATGAACTCGAGTGTACACTGACATGCGGTAAAAGTTCTTTAAACCACTGTGCCTAAGAAGAAATAAGAACTTACATGCGAGATGAAATATAAATATGTAACCTGGATGACACTGTCACCAACTGAAATAGACATGGAAGATGTGTATCTCGAGTTGTATATCCCCCGTGCCCCGGGTATCATAACTTCATAACATCATAAAGCACAATAGAATAGAACCAATATCCTTTTTTACACCACCACTCCCATAAACCCGCCACCCGCCACCCATTATTCTCTACCAGCCAGACCCATCCGTAACTCCAAATCTATTATGTGAAAATCTACGCAGCAGCAATACTCCTCATACGTCTCCTAATATCCAGCGTCCCCTTCACACTGAAATTCGAATAGTCCTCTGGCATATGTTCACCACTAACAATAACCAAGATCTTCATTCTTGGATGATATTTCAAATCATGAAGTAATTTTGGTGTGATGAGGAAATATTGGCTATCATGTTCCTGACAAGCGATCTCCACCATACGGCCATGGACCATTCGTTCGTTACGGGGATCCATTCCTTGATTAATTTCGTCGACGACGCGAAAGGGGGAGCGAGCGAGCGATTGTAAAGACATGAGGTAAAAGATTGTGGAGACGGAACGTTCACCTCCGGATTGTCGGTGTTTGTCAAGGAGCTGGAGGGTTTCATTTTCTCTATTTTCATCTTAGTTACTTGGAATGGCTGAGAGGTTGAAGAAGTAGAACTGTACCTGAATTTGACCTTGATCTCAATTGCCCATTTTTCGAAATCGTCTTCTTTATACACACCGACTTCACCGGCACAACCAATCTGCTCAAAGTTGTGTGAGAACGCCTGACTAATATGCTCGACAAGTGCATCAAGTCTTGGTTCCCATTTCGTCATGATCTCAGTAACTTTCTGCGCAAAGTCTCCGAGTTCATCCTCGGCATCAGTGACCTTGGTGCTTAATCGATTGATATCAACTTGACGTTTCTCGTACTCTCGAATAGCATTCGGATTGTTAGCTTGAATGTAATTGAGTTTATGTTCCTCGCTGTTTATTTCATGCTGTAGATTTTCCACAGTCTGATCCTGAGGGATATTGATGAAGTAATCTAAAATTTCAGTGTCACCTTTCTCCTCAGCCTCCGTTCTGATCTCCGCGCAACGGGCGAGCGCATTTCGTGCAGTCTCGGTCGCTCGCTTTGATTGTTGTTCAATTTCCACTAGTCGTTTACGTTCTGATTCAAGGTTTGCGACAATGCCAAGATTGCGCTCTCGTAGAGCGTGGATATCCGAATCTGCTTCAATGCGTCGAGCTTCGGCTTCATCAAGTTCCTCAGAGCAAGCAATGATCTGATTGATTTGCTCGATGTGTTTCATCACTTGCTCTCCCTTCTTGAGACCAGCAATGTCTTGCTCCTTCAGAATTGATTGGATTTCTGCTCTAGATTCAGAGCTAGATGACTCCAATCTCTCCAACGATTCCTTCTCTCGAGCTGCGAGTATGTCAACAATTGTTCGTGTATACATGTACGTCTACTACTCACCAAGCAATCCCGGAAGAGCTCTTTGTTCACCATGAGCCCTTTGCTTTTGTTCCTTCTCGGATTTGATCACCATCTGTTTTGGAAATCTCGTTAGTAACGAACGCTAGTATCAGAACCGTCGCAGGCTTACCAATTCATCTTTTTTTGGGTTCATAGTATCTGCACACTGCTGGATCTTATCACTCATTTCCTTGGACTCCTTCTTCATGATCTCGAATTTTCGATCGAGTTCTTCGAGATGTTCTTCGATCACACGCCGCCCTGAAGTGTCTACAACGCCATCAACGAAAAATCTGGCTCTATTGATTCCAGTCGTTTGGATTGATGAGACGTTATTATATTCTCTTCGCATCATGATCTTGTACGAAGTGCTTTTCGTCAGGAAGGATGTGATTCCACTGCGGAGAATCCTTTCATGTTGTTCATTAGTGATATCTTGAAGGGCGACGGCTGTCTTATGAGCACGAATATCATTGCACAACATTGCAAGTACTGGCTCTGGGGCATCAATAAAATCAATGGCCCAACCATCAAAACCTAGAGTATTAAGTTCGGCTGCAGAAAATTGTGGTCGACCGATAGTTTCGGCGAGGGTCTGGGTGCTCATTTGGATTCTGACTTCCGCCAGCTTCATTTCTGCAGAATGGAATTGGTTATTTAATTGCTTGTAATCCGCCTGAGTTTGTGCTGTGATGGTGAGCATATTGCTCTGACGGAACAATGATTCAACAGCGTCGGTATATCTCGGGTTCTTCACAGAGCATGTAATCAAAGGCGGCCCGTAGACTTCCTTCTCAAACTTATCTTGGTTGTCCTGGACCCACTTCCAAGCCGTAGCAGTATCTTTGGAATGCTGAGCAATCTTATTAATTTGTTTTCCAGCTTGACTGTCAAAGTCGGCGAGGGCCTGCCTTGCCCTGTCTTGTTCAGCTCGCAAATCTCGACCTTTGTTTTTCAGTGCTTCTCGGCTTTCCTGGAGCTCCTTCAGCTTGCCTTGGATGGCTCTGATATCCTGAGTGATTGCTCTCTAGGTGACAGGTCAGTAACGGTCTATATAGGTTTCAAATAATAAGCCACTCACAATGCGCTGATTGTAATCAGCCGAATTAAACTCTATTTCAGGTTCTCGGAGGTGTACTTCGAGGTCAAGTATGGCCCTTTTAACTTTCGCTAAATCTTTCTTACGTTTTTCCTCTGCCACTTGAACAGCTTTAACTCTCCTGTCATAATCCCCTATTTTCTCATCCCATTCGTCAACTGTCTTCAAGAGATCATCGGCCGTTGCTTCTGCAAGCTGAAGATTTCTCTTACGGCCGGAAACAATCTTGACTAAGTGTTTCCCCAAGGAATCCTTCTCGTTGACTAATCTCAGAGTCGGTTCGACCTGGCTTTCCAGAGTACGAAATCGCTTTGTTGCTTCTATCTTCTCCTGCTTGCATTCCCGATGCCGGGCACGTGCCGCCCTGTATTCCACGAAAGGAATGCTATTCTTCAGCTTCTCTAAGTCCTTCTCAATTTGAATTCGCTCTTCGAGTCGTTGCATTTCCGGACGTAGCCCCGCCTGTCGTTTTTCGAGATTTATTAACTGTTCCTTGTCTTCGTCGACCTGCAGTTGCTTCGATTTCTCATCTTTCCTCAAATTCTTGAGTTTGTCATGCCAGTCCAACATTTCTTGTGCAGCAACTGCCCGTTGTGTATGATGTAGGAGTTCGACGGGTGTTAATGCTGCAAACTCGGATACCTTGTCCTGTGGCAAAAATTGACAAAGGTTATCGATTTGAATGTTGAATCCTTGGACCAGAGTTTGAACAAGTTTGTGGGTTGTTCTCTTGTTATTTATCCAAAATTCGGTACTATTCCCATCTTTGACAATTCGAGTTCTAATGATATGATTCTCGTGTTCGTTGCTTCTTCTCTGAAGTTCGATTTCGATGAAACCATCCTTTGAACCATGCTTGACAAATTCTCCCAATTTGTCCGCCCGACCGAGGTTTTTTGCTGAAGAGCCCAAGCCCAAACAGAGGGCACAAACCAAGGAACTCTTACCAGTACCATTTGGACCAATTACCATATTCAAATTTGGGCCTGGAAAGAATTCGGCACTCTCGTAGGTAACGAAATTGTTGAGCTTAACGCGAACTATGGCTCCTGGGACAAACTTGCCGCGTCCCGATGCGATTGTAGGATTGTTGGGGTTATTTCCGCCGTGTCGTCTGCCATATTCTTCTCTGGAGGATGCCGAAGCATCGGGTTCACGAGTTCCTTCTTCAGATTCGGAATGTGATGTACGACGTCGTTTCGCCGATTGCGAGGGTGTAGGATTTTCTGGACTTTCATCGTCGACTTCAGCCCTCGATCGACGCCCATGAGATGGCATTTGTGGTGCCATGTTGATAATCCGAGGGCCAGATAGGTATGTAAAATTAGTGAGGTAAAAGAAATACTGGCTCAATCAACAGTCTCGAAATGTATCTTTGATCTCATACCATTTTTGAAAAATCGATGACTTGCACTAATTTAGTCAAAGGATATGGTTTGCGCAAGACGCGTCAAGCTTTAGAAACCGCGTTTATCATTGACGCGCTAGCACGGATGCCCCACTATTTAATCAATGATCAGCTGACTTCCTCTAACTTCACTTCACTTGACTTCACTTTCACCTACACTTCTCATCTCACCCCCTCGCAAAACCATGAACGGATTTCGTGTTTACACGCAATACATAATATGATATACCGCGAAGCCTTCTGTCTGGAACAGATAGTGCTAACAATCATATCTTCCAGCCTCAATTTCAGGAATAACTATGCGATGCGCACCCACCTGCAGAAGGAGATACGCTGGATAGCCTCTATATATATAGATATATTGTAAAGTAAGCTTTTGTCACATTCTCATGGTACTGGGGTATAGATGAAGTTGGAACTACTCAATGATGATTTCGAGAACAAACCCTACATCGAGGTTGCTCACTTATCATATAGACAAATATCATGAGATGCACTGCACCTGGTATATATCACTTGCAATACAGTCAGTATTCATACTGTAATGCGTAAGCTGTCTCAAATTCTACACCGTTTCTTTGTATCTCAAGCTACCGCTATACTGTATGTTGTATTTATGAGCTGAGAATGAACTATTAATGGACCATATTGGTTGAGATTGTTGAATTATCCTCTATTTTGGATGATAATAAGATGACAACTCCAAGTCAAGGAATCTCGGAGGTGTTATATTACAAACGAGCCAATAGAAGTCCATTATGAAAAGATTTTGGCCTTCCGAGGTTATCGTTCAAGTTGTGATTTTGCATTCCTTTCTAAAGTCGGTCGGCATGCTTTCATTTGCGGGGAATCTTGCATGTCAACAAAACATCAACACAATAAAAACTTCACCACAGTAACCATAATTTGCAATTTGAACATCTCTTGAGCGCTGTTTTTAGCATTGAAAACTTCTTTCACAAGTTTTCCTTTACTCTCTTTAATCCAATATTAATTTTAAACCCTTCATTTCAGTTCGCTCTTTCTCTGTGCGTTGTGCATCGATACATATCAATTTGACTTTCTAAACGATAAGCTCTTAGTACTCAGTACACACATAACTTTTCAAGCAGCTCAAATTTTGTAGCTTGGTAGGTTTTTTAGGTTTTTTCTTTCACATTCAAGATGTGGCATCTTGAAATGACTACAATGGAGGGCTAATTGTAAAATCTTCAGAGCTTTCGAACGCTTCATTTTTGGCACATCCGCCACTGGATACACAGGTTTATTTTCATCGCTATGTTCTGTTAAATTCGAGCCTAGGACTATCAAGGGTCTTCAAATACCTCAACCGTGGTTGAATACGACGATCTGACTGATCAATAGACAAAAGGGAAGCCGGTTTTGCTAGAAGGTTGCGATCAGATACGGCAAGTTATCACAAAAATGAGTGTGCAATACGCGCGTCCACCAAGCCGACGACCTCCTCTTGGAGAAGCGACTCGGCGGGTCAACAACAATCAGTCACACACCACCCGGCTTCAATCGAAATCTACACCAACAAATCATGACAGCTTGCGACAAGACGGTTTACTACAAGTTTACAACCAGGCTTCTACTTCCCCAGGCGAACAATATTCGTACCGTGACGATCCTCGAATGGGCTCTCCTGTCTCCAATGTTGTCAACCCTAGGCTCTCTGCTATATCGAAGGAGGCTGCCACGGATTCAAAACGAAGCTCCCAGATTTCGAACGCATCTTCCGCTTCTGATGGCAAAAACATCAAGAAGTTTATTGGCCCTTGGAAACTGGGTAAAACCTTAGGAGAGGGTGCAACGGCGCGAGTACGTCTTGCCAAAAACAGAAACACGCATCAGATGGCAGCGATCAAAATCGTCCAAAAGAAAAATGCCCAATTATCTCAGGCAGGAAGTCTTGCAAATCTGGAACATTCAGAACCGTTACACGATGAAAGCGATGGGGTGCGAAGGATGCCTGTAGGCATTGAACGAGAAGTGGCAATCATGAAGCTTATTCAGCACCCAAATATCATGAAAATCTATGATATTTGGGAGAATCGCACCGAAATGTAAGCTCTATACAAAAATCTAAGTAATAATAGCATCTAACCATGAGCAGATACTTGGTTCTTGAATACGTTGACAATGGCGAGCTTTTTGCTCAAATAGCAAACAATGGAAGACTGCTCGAAGAGATTGCAATGAAGTATTTTCGACAACTTCTGAGTGCTGTAGGATATTGCCACTCATATAACATCTGCCATCGAGACCTGAAACCCGAAAACATTTTAATCACATCCGCTGGAGATATCAAAATTGCAGACTTTGGAATGGCTGCCCTACATCAAGGTCCAGATCACAAATTAAGAACTTCTTGTGGAAGCCCACATTACGCTGCACCGGAGCTGATTGGCGGACACAAATATCGCGGAGACAAGGTTGATATATGGAGCATGGGTGTGATTCTCTATGCCAGCTTATGTGGACGACTGCCATTCGACGTTGAAGGTGTTGGCAATGATAGGGAACGCCTTAATCCATTACTTAACAAAATTCGAAAGGGGGATTATGAAATGGCCCCAGAATTCACCAAAGATGCTGCAAACCTGATCTGGAGAATATTGCAAGTGAACCCAAAGGACAGGATTGCTCTCAATCAAATCTGGAAGCACCCCGTGGTGAGAAAGTACGATTATTTGGACAACCTTGGCGGTGGCCAAAGCCTCCCGTCTCTCAACCTGAATGACTGCGGGCAACCCGTGTTGCGTCGAAGTGATGTTGATAAGGATTTATTAAGGCAGCTGTGGTCTATGTGGCATGCATACTCTGAAGATCAACTAATCGAGGCACTTTTGAGTGAAAGGTGGGTTTCGACTACTGCTGCTGTTACATACACATGCTAATGAAAATATAGACCCAATGAGCAAAAGCTCTTTTACACTTTACTTTTGAGATACAGAGATGCCCAGCTTGAAAATTATGAACCTGAGCTGAATTATTCCAACAGTGACTATCATCATATTAGACCACCTACACTGACAAAAACATATTCAACCTGTCACTTCCCACCACAGACAGGTAATGGTCATCGTCGCCAACAGGCTTCTAGATTCACTGTCGTTAGTAATAGGTCCGAGCACACATACGATCCTTTCAATGCTTCTCGGCCACAACACCTTGATTCATTGAGGTCCGATGATCAGGTCAAGGTCACCATTCATGCCCCTCAGAATGATGAACATAGCCGTAATCGACAACCCTCTCGAATGTCAGCGTCAAGGTCTAACAGCGATCGGAGTAGATTACAGAAGCCTGTATCTCGAGTGTATGCGTCTCGCAGCTCACTTGCAAGCTCTACACGAAGTCGAGGAAGTGCTCCATTCCGAGCTGCAGTGGGACACAAACGCGGTGTAGATTTTTCACACATTAGAAGGCGATCATTGAGTAGCCATAATCTTATGTCTGCAAATAGCCCATTGGGTTCTACGAGAGAACAGGCAGTAGCAGTTGATGATGGAGCGTCTTTGCGTCCTTTCATTGAGCACTCTACCTCAACACGATACATCCGATCGAGAAAGCCACAAGCAGCCAGTACAAAGATCACTACTGCCACCATACAAAAGTCAGGACGAGGTAGTATTCTATGGAAAGAGGATGTCCGTCAATTGAGCAGCAGCTTGGCCAAAGACTGCGATGAAGCGTTCAATAGATCTTCTGTCGTTTCTTCAACCACTGTCCAGCATAGGTCACGCTTTTCAGCAACCCCAAGCGTGGCTTCTCGCGATCCATCGCCTCTACTCAATGTGCCGGCAACAAGTCAAAAGCTCAAACGCGATTCTCTAGATTCACGACCGCTACCTCCACCACCTGCGCGATCAGATTCTGTCAAGAAGGAACTCTTGGAAGCACGCAAACAGGCTACACTTCGTATGACTTCTGGAGAAGATTCGCCTGGATACATAGATCGCATGGTATCACATATCGATCGTCTTATATTGCCTCCTCCTCCATCTCCGTCGCAAACGCGCCAAGATCGCCGAACTGCGTCTGCACCAGTGGACACGAAACAGAGAAATGTTACCCGGCCATTACCTGCGATTAATGAGGCATATGCTGAGGAAATATCTCCCCGAAAGGTTGAATCTGATCGCATTGCATCAGCTCCGGAACCTCGTACATTGAAGAAGAATTCAAACTATTTCAACGAGAGAGAAACAATCCGGGTAGTCAATGCCTCCGCCGCGTCTTTCAGCCCTGTCAGGGCTCCAGCACCTCTTACAATTCGAAAGAAAAGCTCACAAGGGGGTCAAACCGGACCAGAAATCTTCGATAATTCTCTCAGAAATCAATCATCTAGTCTGGGATTGCGACAACAATATTACGCCGGGTCCAAGGTGGATGTCGCCCCAGAATTATCTCGTATCGACGAAGACTCCAACATGGACGATCCATTTGCTCAAGATAGCAACGCGGGCACTATAGTGAAGAAACGATCGGGTTGGTTTAGACGCAATTCCAAGGCCAGCGATGAAGGCGAATCTAGAAGTTCTTCGATTGTGGGAAATGAAACGATGTTATCCCAGTCGTCAAGTAAAAGTGACCGGAGATCAGAAGCGGAAGATCTGCCACCAATACCACCACCAAAGAAGAAGGGGTTCATCCTTGGTAGGCTCTTCAAGAAAAAGCAACCAAAAACTGGCATGACAGTTGGTAGTAAGTACATGTTGAGTTATTTAATGTTCATGATACTAATAGGTCAACAGCACACGATATGTTCGATGAGGATACCAGTGTTCAAGATTCTATAGCCGATTCCAGACAACAGCATCGTTTGAACCGTATGCAACCGAACTCGCGAACACGCCAGATCGAGCCTCAGCAAAACTGGTTAGCCAAGTTATTCCATGTGAAGCCTGCTTCGAAATTTATTTGTTTCTCTGTTTCGAAACGTGCCGCAAGACTAGAGGTCGCCAAAGTACTCAAAGACTGGAAACGATATGGCATTAAAGATGTTCAGGTCGATAAGCAGAGGAATATAGTCTTTGGAAAAGTTGGCGTCGACAATTGTGAGTTTCCACTCTCGAATCCTACATATATTTTACTGACATGTGGCAGTCCTAAATTTGAAAGAGGTTGCATTTGCCGCCGAAATATTGACCGTCTTCGAGCATCTGGAACGTGGCAGAAAAATCAATCTCGCTGTGGCACGAATTACACAGGAAAGAGGTGCGGCAAGCAGCTTTCATAAAGTTGTGGAGACTCTAGATTCTGTCCTACAAGTTCGTGGAGTACTCGTCATGGATGAAGAAAAAAAGAGAATGATGGTGAGGACAGTGAACTCTATGATAACCGAAACCGGCATTTCTTAATCACCAGCCTTATGGAGTCCATCAATTTTCGATATTTCATATCGTTAATACCCCCCCTTTGGACATTTGCGTATGGGGATACATTTCTCTACGCTTGCTTGAGATTGGACACTCTCGAGACCGCGGTTCAGCACACGGCAGTATTTGGATGATACCTGCTTATTTTTGTAGATATACAATGTTCAGTATAGTGATTTCTTTTGAATTTGCATGGGGTGGTGGACTTTTGAGTTGCTTGAAGGAGTTGTAAAAGTATCTTAATAATTCTTCAGCGCAAAATTGAGGTAGAAATATGATAGATGGAGGTCAAAGGCGGGTCAGAGTTAATAATGGAAGAGAGTTCAAGTTGTTGATTTTTTTACTTCGAGATAGGGGAAAAAGGGTTCTTTTCGCTTATGTACTTAGGAAATCCAAAATTTCTTTGATTCAAGTCGTTCATTTTACCTTTTTGTTGTTTAAGTATGGTATGGTGACTTACTACAACTAATATTTATTCACCTGTGAATTAGATGATCTCGCCATACTCAACAAGAACATAAAACCAAAAACACTTGGAGCTGGTGGTGAAGCAGATGGTGATTACGTAAGAACCATAATTCATAGCGGGGTCACCGGGATGACCCGATGCCGCCGATAAGTTCCGCCAAGTCGGGTGAAACTTTTGAAGTCCATAATTTTTCAACTTGCTATACCCACCCGTGCCCACTACTAACTTCTAGCAATTCTTGACTGCAATTGACTTAAGAACGAGTATCCTTAAGACTTCAATTGAGTGAATTTGGTCGCAGTTTGACAATTTTGTACGATTTTGTAGTGTTTTAAAAGTACTATCCAATTAACAATGCTTCGGACATCCACATTTCGAGCTCCGTTGCCTCGGGCAATAGCTCGTACATTCACCACCTCCACCTGCCCCGCGAATGCCGTCAACATCACAAGCAAGTCTGCGACTCGGGTCCGCAACAATATCTCCTCGTCATATAACCTCAAGAGCTTTCAATCTTCGTGTTCCCATCTGCAAAGAAATTTCCACGCAACCGCATACAATATGGCAGAAACAAGAACTGAGTCCGATGCTTTTGGGAATGTAGAGGTCGCTTCAGACAAATACTGGGGAGCTCAGACAGAGCGATCCTTGGAGAACTTCAAGATCAACCAGCCTCAAGATCGCATGCCTCCTCCGATTATTAAGGCTTTTGGTATTTTGAAGGGTGCGGCTGCAGCTGTCAACATGCAGTTTGGACTTGGTACGGCTATATGAAAGAAAATATACACAATTGGACATGAGCTGATGTGATATCAACAGATCCAAAGCTTGGAAAAGCTATCCAAGAAGCCGCCAAGGAAGTCGCAGACCTTAAGTTGATCGATCATTTCCCTCTCGTCGTATGGCAAACCGGTTCTGGAACCCAGTCGAATATGAATGCGAATGAGGTTATCTCGAATCGAGCTATTGAAATCTTGGGCGGAACGTTGGGAAGCAAGAAACCAGTTCACCCCAACGATCACGTCAACATGTCAGCTTCATCGAACGATACCTTCCCTACTGTCATGCACATTGCTGCAGTCCTCGAAATCGAAAACGAGCTCCTTCCTGCGATCAAGTCACTGCGAGATTCTCTCCAAGTTAAAGTGGATGAGTTTGAGGCAAAGAAAATCATTAAGATTGGACGAACTCATTTGCAAGATGCAACACCTCTTACCCTTGCGCAGGAGTTTTCTGGATATGTCGCACAACTTGACTATGGTATGGAGCGAGTCGAATCGTCTCTACCCCACCTTCGACTCTTAGCACAGGGAGGAACTGCTGTAGGTACTGGTATCAATACCTTTGTGGGATTTGCAGAGGCCATTGCAGAGGAGGTCACCAAGATGACCGGAACACAATTCACCACCGCACCTAACAAGTTCGAAGCTCTTGCCGCCCACGATGCCATCGTTCAAGCTTCCGGCTCCCTCACCACCCTTGCATCATCCCTCTTCAAGATTGCCCAAGACATCCGATACCTTGGATCCGGTCCTCGATGCGGTCTCGGCGAACTCGCCCTCCCTGAGAACGAGCCTGGAAGTTCTATTATGCCGGGTAAAGTTAATCCTACCCAATGCGAAGCCATTACCATGGTATGTGCCCAGGTCATTGGAAATGGCACTGCTACGACTATTGGTGGTATGAATGGGCAGTTTGAGTTGAACGTTTTCAAGCCATTGGTCATCAGAAATTTATTGCATAGTATTCGAATCTTGAGTGATGGAATGAGAAGTTTTGAGAAGAATTTGGTGGTTGGGCTCCAGGCCAATGAGGAGAAGATTCAAAGTATCTTGAAAGAATCGTGAGTATACCGATCTACTTATTAGTCCAATTTCTCCCCTCCCTTAAGCCTGAAGATACCAAGTATTGACAAAACTCTCAACAGTCTCATGCTAGTCACCTGCCTGAACCCATTGATCGGTTATGATATGGCTAGCAAGGTTGCCAAGAATGCACACAAGAAGGGATTGACCTTGAAGCAATCGGCTATGGAGTTGAAGGCTCTGAGTGAAGAAGATTTCGATAAGTTGGTTAAACCGGAATTGATGGTTGGCCCAGAGGTGTACAAGAAGTAAGCGACAGAGGGAAGAAAATGGTTGCGGGAAAAAGGATGAGCGATGTATTGATTGATACCATACAAGAGCGTTATCAATGGTTAGACATTGATATTATTTGAAAGGGCGATATAATCATAGCTGGGATGGAGCAGGTTGAGCAAGCAACAGCATTGGTTTGCTATCCATAGTATATGGAGAACTTATATACCTAGGATTGCCTAGGAAAGCTGGTGAATTAGAGAACGAAAATAAATATAAAGTAAATATAATAGACAACGATATAACGAATATCCTCTTGCGGTTATAAGCTACTACTATGCTCTAATGGTGTCTCCTACTTTATACAAATGCACCAGGCAATTCCTTAAACTTCTCTCCTTTCTCACTCAAAAACACTCGATCGCCCTCGCTAGATCTTCGGATAACTTTTTGGGTGGTTTTAGATCCTGTCAAGGGGTACTTACCTGACTAATCAGGTCCGCTCAGCAAGCATATAATACGCCGTATCCGTATCCATTAACTTTCCAACCTTTTCCCTCCCTCAATATGCTTAAGTCTTGGAATGGAATCGACTTCTTAAAGTAATTCTCATACAGAGTTGCCACCGCTTTATTCCATCTAGATATCCAATGGTTGAACTGTATTACAGTACATTACAGGACTTGTGATAATACTATTGCACCTCAATAACCATTAAACAGCGACTCGCCGATATATATGATGGAATGAAAGATGCACCAGGTAATGACAGCCAATAGCATTCGATACAATGCGAACATATCCATATCCTTAAGAATGACAAACTTCCATGCTTTAAAGGGCTATGATGATTTACAGGTTTGTGGTTACCTTCTAGAATCTATTCTCGTCCGTTTTCGATCATGACACTCCGCGAAAGCATCAAATTCACGTGCAATACACCACGTATAAAGGGGCTCCCGGTCTAGATGAAGCAATAGTAGAAACGCGCGGTAGGTAAAGAATAGTATGGTTTAGTCTCTGATCCTCTCATAGTGGGTCTTGATCGATTAAGGGTATTTACGGTATTCACGATACTAGGGAGGTTAATCTGCTAGTAGGTCGCAAAATTATGGTCCCAAAGAGATTCCATTTAATACAAATACCCTTCACCAATTCATGTCTTCCACGACATCAATCCCTTTTGGCTAACAACCAATTCCCTCTACAATCATGGATCTTCAAGCCATGAATCCCAGCTTAACTCAACCCGATCGAAGAGTACTCGAGTTGCTACTTAACGATGTACGACAAAAGAATACAGCCAATTCTTCGGACACTGCTGCATATCAAGAAAGCCAAGCTAAAATCGACGAACAAATTTCGATTCTAGAAGCACTCAACGATGAAAACGACGAGAAATTCCAACCTACAGTATTCACAACTTGGGATCAAGAAGATCTTGAGCGCCTTCCCGGTCCTTTATACCAATATATACTTAAGCCATACATACAATGGGGGAAAGGAGTGGTACGTCGGCCAACGGATGTTGTCTTCCTCACACATATCATCCTTTACCTTACCACATCGGTCCCGAGCGCTATAATTCTATACAACCGATTCTCCTTGATACACGGATTCTGCCATTTGATCATGCAGGCTCTCTACTGTGGACCATTCACGCTCATGCTTCACAATCATATTCATAACAACGGAGTCTTGGTTAAGAAATACGCATGGCTCGACAAAACCTTCCCATACCTTCTCGAACCTCTCATGGGTCATACTTTACATTCATACTACTACCATCATATCAAATGCCACCATGTTGAGGGTAATGGACCGGACGATCTTTCTTCGACTCTGCGGTATCAGCGGGACGATATAGTTGATTTTCTAAAGTATTGGGGTCGTTTCATGTTCTTGATCTGGCTAGAGCTCCCATTGTATTTTTTCCGGACCAAAAAGACCAAATTGGCATGCGAAGTACTCTTCTGGGAGGTTGGCTCATATGTGGGCATGTATACGATGGCTAGGTTGAATTTCTGGCCAACCCTCTTCGTGTTATTGATACCATTCCTGCAAATGCGAATTGGATTGATGGTGGGCAACTGGGGTCAGCATGCATTGGTTGATGAGATTGATCCGGATTCAGATTATAGGTCATCCATTGTTCTGATTGATGTAGGGGTAGGTATTCCTTTTCCTTCTAACATGGCACTTTCAAATTCTCTCAGCTAATCCTCGATATTTATAGAGCAATCGATTCTGCTTCAACGACGGTTGGCATACGGCCCATCATCTCAACCCACTTCGACATTGGCGCGACCAGCCACTTAGTTACCTCAAAGGAAAGCATAACTACGATTCTGGCAAAGCTCTCGTCTTCCAAAATATCGATTACATTATGATGTTCGTTAAACTCATGCAAAAGGACTATGAACATCTTGCTGGATGTCTCGTCCCAACAGGAGAGAATATTGGGAAGAGCAAGCAGGAATTGGCGGATATGTTGAGGACGAAGACCCGCAAATTCACAGAGGAGGATATCCAGAAGAAGTTCAAAAGTAAAAAAGCCTCCTAGAAGTTGCTGATGGTCGAGAGGTGCACTTTCCAGGAAAATTCTATACTATTGAGTGATTGGGATCTTCGACCACGCTATCAGCGCTGGCAGTCGCGTCGTCTCCTCAAGTCCACGACCAAGGTTAGGGACAAGAAGAAAAGGAGCTGATGAGTCGGAACAACAATTTCGTCTTGCCCTGTTATTTTCGCAGCATACTTCAGTATGAATGTGCAGATCGGACCACAAACAATATATTACCTTATAATATTACGACGGGACGGACTTCAATCCATTGCCAAAGTCGGCGTCCCAAACATAACATTCAGGCACTGGAATGGAGTATATCAAATACATCCGATGTATGTATATGACGTTTGTGTAGTTAATCATTTCCATGTGGAAAGAGGAAAGTGTAGATAGCTACCCATAGTATACTAATATAATGTCAAATTCATTCCTGTTTTTACCCATATGTTTGCTTCTGGTTTGATGTGGTGATTGAGATAGGTTCCTCATAGTTGAGATGAACCGAAATGCTTCTCTTTGTAGTATCGCATTTTGCAGATGAAGTATCGTGGACAAGGCAAGCTGTGCCCATATCTCTAGATAATAGCTAAATATCTGGATATCTGGAACAGGAGAGCGGTTCTATATGAGGAATTTGGGAAGGAGAGTTCGAAAGTAGGCATGCGGATGGTTGTCAAATCAAGTTGTATTGTCATTTCATCCCTGCTGATTGAGAGACTTGGAAATTTACGTTAATCGAAATTGTATGACCTATTTTTTGTCACATCTTTTTATTGGGAACACATTTCTTAAAAACGTTCCCGAAAAATACATCCTCAAAGATACCTTTTGGAAAGCCCCTTTCCTTATCCTCCTATGTGGTATTAGATAACGGTCATCTCAAGTTAACTGTTACCATCACATCAACATTGCTTATTGACAAAGTCATGTGCAGATTGCCAACTCAAGACTCATAAACCCAGGTGGAAGATGTACCTACACCTTGCTGTATATCACGCAAAATCCACCATCTCCTTGAGGGCCTACGAACAACTTGGCTCAATTCTCTTAAATTTATGGAAATATGCAACTATTGAAGTTCCTAATTTGAACCAAGATCTATTTATCTCCACTCTCAACTCTCAAGGATAAGAATCCATATTACTGATATCCCCTGAATTAACCACTAACAACTTGGCCGTTTCGTCACCTTTCAAAGAAGGCACATCATCCCACACCCTTCCTCCTTCTTCATTCCGTCTACTCCCCGGTGTAATATACGTCTCCCAAAAACCCTCCTCATCCCCAGCTGTCCGCTCATAAGCAATCGTCTGCGAAAAAGTCGACATCAATACCCCCAGAAACAACTCCGCTTCAACCAAAACTGGATATTCAACAATAGCCGCGGCATCAAATTCTAATTCTTGTAGTTGGGAAGAAATGGAAGGGAGGGAAGATACCAGTTCCCATTTATCATAAACCAGATATCCGAGCGCCGAGAGTCGCTCACGAAAATCGGAAATCGCACCGCTATCCCCACAGCTAACATAAACGGCCTTGATACCCTTTGCAGAACCATGCTCAGCAGTTGCGAGCTCGATCTCCCGCGTGAAGTACTCCATCTGTTCTTCTCGAGACCCGAAATTTGAAGGCCAGTCCGTCTCGCCTCGCAGATGTACGGCGATATATCCGTCGCGCAGCGGAGCCGTATCTCGGATTTGTGATCCGAGATGCAGAAGTTGCGGGTTGTATTTTATGGTATGGAAGAGTTGTTTTTGCAGTGCTTGCTCCGAGTCATACGTGTAGTTGTATGCGAACATGGTGTCGCCAAAGCCCACTGCTACGGGGTTTTCGGTTGATATAGAGGAGAGGGGCAGAGAGAGAGATTCTAGATGTGTGGTTATGGCCGATTTGAATGTCCCAATGTGGTAACTATCTTCATGATATTGCCTCTGCCCCATTTGTATAATTCTTTCCTCCGCTATTCCCGACGTATCTCCACATCGTCGCATTTCCATTCCAGGACATAAAGAACTCATTTCCTGAAGTAGAAATGATATGTCGAAATATACATCGGCGCACACGCTGTCGCCGCTGACTAGAGAGGGAGATTCGCGCTGGCGTTGGGTTTGCACGGTGGGGATGATGATGCCGGAACCGAGATCGAGGGCTAGGCGGAGACAGGTTTGGATGCGGTTGCGGGCGTTGTTTAGGCCCCCATCGATGGAGGTGCCGTTGGGACCGGACCAGGAGTGGCATTGGAGGTAGAGACCAGGTTGGAAGGAGGTGGTTTCGCAGAGAGTTTGGAGAGAGTTTTCCTCTCCTTTTTCTATATCCTTATTTTCTTCCTCTTCCTTGGCATCTTTCTTCGCAGCTTCCTCTATTTCTTTTGCTTCTGCCTCCTTTTCCTCCGCCTCTTGTGCCTCTGCTTCTTTTTCCTCTGCCTCTTTTTCCATTTTCTTCATGTTCTCCTCCGCCATTTCCTTCTTCCTTTGCACTTCCTCCTCCCTCTCTCTTTCCTCTTCCTTCTCTTTCTCCTTTTTCAATTTGTCCTCCTCTTCCTTCTTCTTTATTACCATCTGCTCATGCGGACTCGCGTCCCCGGGGCCACTCATTCCCTCCTCCCTCCCCATCTCCTCCAACCTTGCCAATCCATCATTCTTCGTTCGGCCAGTTCTACCGCTTCCACCATTTCCACCACTTCCACGAAAAACACCCTTCGTCTTCTCAGGCTCCTTCCCATTATGCACCTTCACTTCACCCGGTGTAAGTAAAGAATCCGTATAATACAATACCCACGCAAATAACAAAAATGCTATGAGGAATGTATGGTGTTTGGTTATCATTCTTGCAAATTAGTTTTGACTCCCTCACCTGGGTGCTAGTTTGGTCACGGTATCATTGAGAGGGAGAGGAAGATTGAATGAACATCAAGTATTAAGTTTGAAATAGATATATTAAGTCTAGATATATTGAGTCGAGGATAAATGAGAGTGAGAGGGAAAAATAAAAAGCTGAATGCAGACAAAATACCAAGGCACAATAATTGCAAACAAACTTTGCTGTCTAATTTTGCGTGGAATATTGCTAAGATTGACGAATGCGTACAAAGGAAGTAGGAGAGAGTGCTCGTCTATCTTCTTCGTAAAGCACTGTGCTATCAAATAGCGAAATATAGAATTGAGATGTAGGGATATATCCTTTCTGTATGAAATAACAGATTACATGTAGCAAATTAATTTGAAGCAATAGAATACACCTATAAAAGTGTTCTCGATCTATTTTCCCTGTTTCTCATCCCCTCCCGCTGGTCCAGTAAATTACTTTCCTCATGACAGCCCCCTCGATCAAGAAATCCTATCTGTCGTAGCCAATTTATATTCCGGACACCATTCATCCAGACTGACCAGATGTTGTTGGATGTATCTTGTAGGTTGATGAAGGCCTATTTGATGGTTTGGGTGTTAGTATTTGTGTTACCTTATGCATTTTGAGATATACAGGGAAAAGAAAATTGCGCAGCAGGGAAAAGGGGAGTGTACATACCTAGAGGATGCGGATGATCAATCGTTTCCACAGCAAAGGTCCTCGCAATTTCCATACTCGGTAGATTAATTCCATCTTCGATACCTTCTTCAATTTCTCTCTCTTGTAGTTCTTTGAACCTAAAATGAGAATGCATTCATTAGACACTCCCTCGTAAAGCCATCTCGAAGAGATAAAAAAAAACACCCAAACCCACCTAGCATAAAACCACTGATCCTCCGCCGGATGCGGATTATCACTATACTTCCACTCCTCCAAAACCCTCAAGATCGTATTCCTATTCCGCATACTCAACCCCCCATTATAACCCTGCCCAAACCTCGCCTCGATAGGCGCCCCAATCAAATCATACTCCAGAAAATCATCCACGCTGCGCGCCGCATTCGCACACAACATGCTATCGGTCTGAAACAACAATATATGGTTCGCGGGCGCCAGATCCTCCCACAACCACTTGGTTGTCAAAAACGCAGATACCGAGTCCCAATTGTAGAACCAGGTGCCGGGTGCCAGCGCACGCACGATGATGCGCCCCGATGCTTGGTGTCGGAGGAGTGCGGCAGAGGTCGAGAATGACCCGAAGTTTTCGGCGGATGTGTAGATTAGGAGAGGCCAGGTGGGGCCTAGTACGGCGCTGAAGTGGAGGATTAGCGGGATGATGTTGCCGGAGCGGCGCGTTTCGATTATCACGGCGACTTTGGTGCTGGTGGTTATGTTGGCGGTAAAGGGTTGGGGTTTGGAGGAGTCGATTGCTTTTGATGAGGGGGTTGAGAGCAGGTCTGAGGGGGTTGTGTGATTTGAACTGTTGGCTGGGGAGACGGCGTCCCATGGGTTGCCATGATATTTAGAATGTGAGATTGCGGTTCGGATGAATAGGATGATTAGTGTGAGATATACGAGTGGGAGTAAGAGTTTTCGAGGTTTAGCCTTGAGAATACTTTCTTTCGCGGTGCTAATGTCGTAGTTGCCCAACATGGCTGCCCCGATATATGTGATTATAATGATGATACGGGTACTACCTGGAGTTTCCGAAGGTATGAATTGAAATTCATGGCTCCTGTTCTAGGGATGAGACTTCAGAGATGCGCCATGCCGGATTCGGAATTTGGGGAAAAAGCAACTTCTGAAATATGTAACCTTATGCAACTGAGACAATTTAATGCGAGGCTGGACAGGAGAAAAGATATGATGGAGATAAGGACAAATATAGATTTGAATCCCCTTGCTTGTATTGAAGGACAAATAAAATACACAATCAATCGTAAAGCGGAATAATTGCAACTGTATGCTCTACATCACACTAGATGAGTAGAACATTCCCTATATCGATGACATTTCTATTGAGGTAACTAGAAAACTAATAATTAGTTACCTCGCACGTACTGTACGTAGATCATGACCGAAAGCCGAGAAAAATCGACTTGAGAGTAATTTGCTGTATAGGATCCACCCCAAGCAAACTTCTTTAGGCCTAATTAGCACATTACCTTACATAAAGTAAAGCCCTAGTTAGGCCTAAAATGCATAAGATAATGCGATTGAGGTTTTGAACCTTCAATTCCAGGCAAATATATATTTTGATATAGAAAAGGGTACAGATATATAACCAAACTTGAATTTAAGATCATTTTTACTATTATAAAATAATCTCAAAACGATTGAATTTAACTCAGATATTGAATTAAATTCAATC